TGCAGAAGAAAAAGGAGCTTCTTATGGTGTGGATCAGCAGCTTAGAACACAGATGGTCAGAAGAAATTGTCCCAGGATTTGGCCTGTTTGTGGTCTGTATCTTTCTGTGATCCTCACATTAGTGGAAGAGCTGAAGGACCTAAACTCAATGGGTTTATCCTTGTAGCAGCCTGGCAGCTGGGACAGACCACTGGGATGCAGATAAAAGTCCAGGCAGATCTTGCAAAGGTGTAGGGCAGAAGAAGGTCCATGAAGAGCCAAGAAGGTCCATTCTTTGTGGGATCAGATGTGGGAAACACCTGGAAAGGGCTTTGTCTGCTCCTCTCCCCATGCCCGGGTGTTTCATGCACTTTGTGCTATTCCACAGGCTCAGGGGAAGGGGTGCAGAACCATAAAATTATAGACCTTTTAAGACTGACGATTGGACTCATTGATCTTAAAGCTCTCTTCCAACCTTGATGATTCAATGACTTTATTAGACTAGGGCGTTAGGTCCATTGCCTCAGAGATTCAGCATGTGAAGGTCAAGCAGTAACAGGGAAACCCACTTTTCTTTCCACCAACTCATCTCCTGGAGCGTGTGCCCTGGCTGCTGCCCGGGCTGCTGCCCGTGTCATGGCACAGCTCAGCACTTCTGGCCTCCTGCTCAGCATACCCACAGAAGCAGATTTTCTTGCTGAGCGATCGAATGAAACTCACTGTTGGATAGGAAAAAAAAAAGGCTCTTCATCTCAGATTGCACTAGTTTGTTTTTCCTTATGACTAACTTTGGAGGCAAATCCTTAAAGGCACAGCAGACTCAGGGAATGCAGCACTCTCTGGGAGTGCCATCCTTGCTGCTGAAGGACAGGGGTTCTCATTGAGCCAAGGGGATTTAGACAGTTACATGACTTGGCAAGTCTGACCTTGTTGCTTTGGGGGAGGGCTGGTATCAGACACGAGGAATAGCTCAGTGTGGTGTGATTAATTCAACAACTGCCATTGCCTTCAATAAATCAGTGACTTATTGCCTTGGATTAATCTCTCTTTATCATAAGTCACGTCCTACAGGGATCCAGACCACATCGGTGTCAGCAATGTAAAATCTGTATCAGAATTTACACTGCTGCTTTGCTGCTTTAGCATAGGTGCACCCATCAAGGTGCCCCAGAGACTGAAACCCCTGGGTGATCTGCAGTGTTGAGAATTTATAGGTTATATATTTACAGGCTATAACCACCTACAAAAAGTTGCTCATGATACCTAGATGTTTGGTTTTTTCCTTTGTGCTCCTGGAGAGCTTCACTTCTCATTCAGTAACATGGAAGATTAAAATCTACTCAATATGGTAAGCAATTTGGGGACTGAATCATTTTCAGGCTCTCTGTACAGCACCTGACACAATAAATTGCATGACAGAGCTTTCTGTGGATTTGCCAATATAAATAAACTAATAAACCCATCAGAATATAAACTGTTCTAAAAGAAGAAACTATCTCC